CTCTCCAGGACCTGGGGCCGAGCCAGAGGCCTTCCCGGCCCCAGTGAGCCTCTGTCTGAATCCCCTCCAGGGACTCAGCCTCTGAAATGTGTGTGTTTATCTGTGTACGTGGCTGCTGACTCCCCATAGAATTGAAGCTCCTCTGGGTCCCTGTCACTGCTGAGTACTTGATGTCACGCCAGGTCTGAGTGGGTACTGATGACCGTGCCAGGTGGGACCCATGGGGGGGCGGAGAGGGACGAACCTGAGTGCCAGGATCTGTAAGGGGAGGCCCACCTCGGCCGGGCCCGCAGCTCTGACCCAAGCACTGCCCGCCCAGGTGGGGCACGGCTCGGGCAGCTTCCTATGGGCACACGAGCTCTGCCTGAGGAACCTGGCGCTGGCCCCATAGAGGATGCTGAGCTCCCGAGTCAGGCGGAGGGCGGGGGGCTTGGAGGCCGGCCCGAGCTGAGCGTGGACACAAAAGGGTCCTTGTCCACCTCTGGCCAAGCCCAGGCCTCTGCGGGCTCCACACCCTGCGACTGCTATTGGGCAATGTGTTTGCCTCTGGGCTGAGTGAGGGCAGCAGAGCGGAGGAAACAAATTATTTATCAGAACAACTCAAAGACTTATCCACTCCTGACGGTGCCATCCCAGGCCCTCAGCACCGGGCATTGCCCCACGGCCTCCTATGTGGATCCTGTGCCAGAAGCCTTCCCGCCCGGAGACAACTGCCACCCACTCGGCAACACTGTCTCCCGAGGTCGCTGAGCAGCCAGAGCTCCTTCCGTCCCCCCGGCCCCCAGCAGCTTCACCCGAGGTCCTGCTCTCACTTGTGCCACCGTCTGTCCACCTGCCCCTGGGCCCCGAGCGCCCGCACGGTGAACACAGGACCAGACCCGGCGTCCAGCGCTGCCCACTGCCCTGCTCTCTGGCCTGCACCTCCTCTTCGCCGTGTGCGCTGGTGCCTGGCGGTCACACTGATCAGAGCAAGAGGGGCTCAAATTTCTGATTTAGAAGCACCTTCCCCGCAAGGTTTCTACAGCCGCTTATGCGTCTGTGCCCAAGGGATGGGCCTCCAAACAGCTGCCACAGATGGTTTAACTCCGAGACACACACACAGACACACACACGCACACGCACATGCACACGCACACACACTTCTAGTCTTTGCAAAAAGAAAGAGAGCAGATGGCGCGTGGGGAGGCTCTGGGCACAGGACGCCCGGCAGAATCTCAGCCTCAGCCCCTGTGCGTGGCCTGGCCGGCAGAGAACAGTAAGTCAAGGCGGCGGACATGCTGGGCTGGGGGCCCCGCCCTGTGCACCATAAACACAGCATATAGGAGAGAAATCGAAATATTTAGGGCCTCTGTGCCACATGCAGGGCCCAGGGCTGGCGGGAAGGGCAGGAATGCCTGCTCGGGCTGGCGAATGAGCCTGGGCCCAAGCCCTAGTCTGCGGCCCACTCCTTGTTTGTGTAAACCCTTCTGATCCCAGTGCCTCCTCCTTGAAGGAGAGTGCAGGAGAGTGGGTAGTAAAACCTTCCCTGTGATCGGAAAGGTCAAGTGACTTGATGCGAGGAAGAGCCACCAGCCCCTGCCACCCGCTACGTCCGGAGCAGCAGCTGCCAAGTCCTAACAACAACATGGAGATGAGGAAACAGCTTCGAGGGGGTGGTGTGTGTGCAGTGTCACAACCAGCAGAGTGGCCTCAGAGACAGAAAGAAAAGGAGGGAAGGAGGGGCAGGTGCTGGGGGAAGCCACATGCTCTCTGCAGCCGCCAGCCGCCAGCACGTGTCAGCACGTGTCAGCATGCAGGAAGGAATGGACCCAAGGCCACAGAAAGGCCACCAGGACCGCGCACTCGGCAGGGACGCCACACCCAACATCAGCCACACAGGCGCCTGCACCGCTACCTACAGACACACGTTTACACACGGCGCCTGCACCGCTACCTACAGACACATGTTTACACACGGCGCCTGCACCGCTAACTACACATATTTTTCAGTATCAAATTGATGTATTAAATGTTACACCAAAATCACAAGCAACAACAAAATAGATAAACTAGGCATCCTGAAAATTAGAAAGGACACCACACAGGTTCCGGAATATAGAAAGAACTCTTACAGCCTCTTAACAAAAACAGCTAAAGAAACGGCAAGAGACCTGAACAGATGTTTCTGCAAAGAAGACAGAGACGGCAACACAGGCCTGGAAGCTGCTGTACATTGTCGTCGTTGGAGACGCCAGTCAGTCCACAGACGCCCCCGCCCGCTGGGATGGCGGGAATCCAGGGCACGGTAATCACCAGTGTCTCACAGAGTGAGGCTGCCGGTGGGCTGTGGGCCGGTAACTGCTGTGGGAGGCCGTCGGCAGTTCCTGAGCAGGTCAAGGTGGTTATTACATGCCCGGCTCTTGCATTCCTGGGCATTTACCCAAAAGAAATGAAAACATACATCCACCTAAAACCTGGTAGGTGAATGTTCCCAACAGCATTATTCTTAGGGCCAACAGGTGGGAACAGCCCAAATGCCACTGAGTGAAGAATGTATGAACTGTGACCTAGCCACACGATGGAATATTGTTCTGCCTGAAAAAGGAGTCAGGCCCAGCCGGCACGCTCAGTGATTGAGCGTCAACCTATGAACCAGAAGGTCACCATTTAATTCCCAGTCAGGGCACAGGCCCAGGTTGCGGGCTCGATCCCCAGTGTGGGGCGTGCAGGAGGCAGCCGATCCATGATTCTCTCTCATCATAGATATTTCTCTCTCTCCCTCTCCCTTCCTCTCTGAGATCAATAAAAATTATTTTTTTTAAAAAGGAGCTAGGACCTGGCACCTGCCACAACTCGATGAGCCGTGAGGACATGCGGCTGAGGGAGAGAAGCCACTAGAGAGCAGCACTTTGTGATCTGATTCATTCGAAAGCCCCACAACATGTAGACACATGGAGACGGTTGGGGGCCAGCGGTCGTCCAGCAGAGGAGGGCAAGGAGAAGTGGGGGGCAGCAACCTGTGCACAGGGTCCCTCACAACGCTTTGCTACGTCCTCCCTCGTCACGTGGATGAGCTGCCCTAGGAACTAACTCTTGTTCACACCACAGCCTGCAGCGAAGGGTTTCCTTACGCGTCATTTTGCTCAACATTTTACTTAACTTTGCAGAACCTATAGAGGCCGTGAATGAGTGAGGACTTAGGGTTCACAGCCTCTCTCCGCAGTAAGGGGCAGGTCCTAGAACTGATCCTGGTGGCAGACACGCAATTCAGCGCACACACTCACAGCACAGAACTATGGACTTCACATGGGTGACAAAGGGGATATGTGAATTTTCTATATGTATAAAACCCTAATGTGCAAATAGACTGGACGGCGGAACACTGAACATCCGGTTGCTATAACGTGCACTGACCACCAGGGGGCACGCGTGGAATATGGCAGGCATTGGCCACGGTGGGATGGTGGAGCAGGTGAGTGGGGGTATCAGATCACAGAGGGGCGCCGGTCGCTATCATCGGGGTGAGCCTCTGGTGGTTACTGAAAATTCTTTGCTCCCGCGCGACATGGTCCCGCCCAGTGCTACACCCGCTGCTGGCGCCAGAGCCGCCACTCACACCTGCGGCCAGTGCCCGGTGCCAGCCCCGATCGCTTGGTGCCATCAGTGGGTGTGAGTGGCAGCTGCCGGCCCCGATCACCCCTGAGGGCTTCTCCACCCCCCCTGCTCCTGAGGGGCAATCGGCACAGCAGCTGCCACTTGCACCCGCTGCCAGCCCCAGTCGCTCTGCATGGTCAGTGGGTGCGAGCGGGGCCGATGCTGTCAGCCCATGGGAGCAGTGGCGGCGGGAGCAAGGCTGCCGGCAGACAGGGGACTGGGCACCGATGGGCTGAGACCCGCCACTGTGCCCACTGCAGCCTTGCAGCCCACAATTCCTTTCAAGGTGCACGAATTTGTGCACTGGGCCCCTAGTATCTTGATAAAGCTGTTAAAAAGTCTTGCTTGAATATCCAGGAACTCCTGGGCTAATGTGTTAATTATATGCTTTTAGATGCATATTAAAAATATATGATCCACCCCGGCCAGCATGGCTCAGGGGTTGGAGCACCAGAGGGTCTTGGGTTTGATTCCTGGTCAAGGGCATGTACCTGGGTTGCAGGTCCAGTCCCCACCTCCCAGTTGGGGTGCATGTGGGAGGCACCCAGTCAATGTGACTCCCTCACAGCGATGTTTCTCTCTGTCCCTGCTCCCTTCTACTTAAAAAAAAAAATCAATGGAAAATATCCTCACTCCTCGTGTATATACATCCCTTAAGCTTTTACGTCAGCCACAAGTCACACAAACGTCCCAGGACCCCAGGCCCCACCCTCCTCATCCAATCAGTTCAGAGTATTCTGCCAGCAGTTTACAGAGAGGATCAGGTCACAGAAGGACGTTTTTTATTAAAGAGACGATTGGTCATGGATTTAATCATTTAATGGGTTCCCTTGGGGCGGCCACAGGGTCATGGCCATTCGGTGCCTCACGTTTACTTGGTGGCAGCTTTCATGTTTCCTGCAGCAGGACAAGCCACGCCCACAGGGTTACAGCTAAAGTGCTGCTGGTGCACAGCCAGGCACGTCCACTTATCTGGCTGCTTTGGGGCGGGGGCAGCGCTGAGCAGCTGGGACACAGACCACATGGCCTGCAGACCCTGAAACACCCACCCTGACCCTACAGGAGACTGCTGACCCTGAGCCGTGTGGGGGCGGGGTCCTCTCTCCAAGGGGCAGACGGAGCAGCAGTGGGTTTCCCGCTGGGTCACAGGGGTGAGGGTGGGGCAGCAGGCAGCGGAGAGAAAGCGGGGAGCAGTCGCCGAGTTCACCCCAAAACACTACTGGAGGACACACTGCACCTTCCACCAAACCTGGTGCCTGTGGGCAGCGCCAGCCCAGCCCAGCCACCCTCCGCACCCTCTCTACACCCGCTTCGCACCTCCTGCCCCCTCCCGCCCACGCCCCATTGCCGCCAGCGCCAGCACTTACTTCATGGGCTTGAACAGGGCCTGCCCGTAGTTCTGGAACGTCATGATGAGCTTGAGCTGAGTGCCCCCCGACTTCATGGCTGCAGGGAGGCAAAGACACAGGGTCACCCGCTGCCCGGCCCTCTGCTCCCCACGCAGACCTCACGGCCTGGGCCCTGGGCATGGCCAAGGGCCCCCACTCTGCCTGGATAGTAGGGTTCCTCACAAGGATGCCGACACGCCCGCCTCCCCATTCAGAGGTTGGGGCAGAATCTCTCTCCAGGCCAACCCAAGACAAAGGGCCCGGCTTCTGGAATGGCTGGGTGTACACACCTGCCAGCAGTGCCTCCCGCCCCAGACACCCGCTTACACCTGGACACCTGGACACACCCACTCACACACAGAAACAGCTACACACACAGTTACACTCAGAGCTACACACACAGAGTTACACACACACACACACACACACACACACACACACACACACACAGAGCTATACATACATACACAGCTACACACACACAGGAGGTGAGCTGGCCGACCAGCCCTGTCACCGCACAGGGAGGCCCAGGCCACCCAAGACAGGGTGGTCACAGGGGCGAAGTGAGGCAAAGTGTCCCCACCAGGGTCCACGCTCCACTGGGTGGGACCCCATAAACCACAGGCACCCAGAGGCTTCAGGCTGTGGTGGAGAGGTCCACGCCCGCAGGAGCCTGCAGAGGCCACTCTGGGTGGCGCTGAAGCTGCCCCCACAGAACAGGGGGTGGTCAGGAAGGCCCAGGGCAGGGGAGGAGGAGAGAGCGGGCACATTGCAGCACCTGGTGGGTCTGGTGGCCACTGGTCCCAGGGCAGGAGGGGATGGGAGCAGGTGGGTGCTGTCCCCTCAGTGTGGGGAGCTGGCTAGGGAGGGTGGAGGCCAGTGGAGGGGGGTGGCTGGAGGAGATGAGGAAAGAGATGGAGAAAATGGGAAAATTCAAGAAATATCTGGGATGGAGGAGCCATTTGGAGGGGGTGTTGGGGTACGGAGGGGAGAGAAGAGACGAGGGTGACCCCGAGGTTTCGGCTGGAGCAGCTGGATGGAGGAGGAACAGCCTGGAGGTGAAGGTCGGGCAGGTGAGCCTGGATGCCCCAGGACAGACCCAGGAGCCGGCCTGAGGCGGCCAGCGTGTGGCGCACACATGTGGAGGACCGAGGACCTGAGGCCATTGCAGGTCAGGAAGGGCCTGCAGGGCCTGGGCGGTGCTGAGGTCAGGGAGGGTGGACACAACCTGTGAACACACCAGGGCTGAGGCGGGAAGGCGTCGCCGTGCAGGAGGCTGCACTGCTGGAGGGCTTTGCTGTGGGGCCCTGACCAGAGTGCCCGGGGCTCCAGGGGCACACGTGCAGGCGAGGACAGCAGTGTCACCAGGGAAGGCCCTGCCCTAAGCGTGCACGCCATGGGCGCTGCGCGGAGCACCCTCATGGAACCTGCTGGTGTTAACGTGTGTTAATGTAGCACGGGCGTCCCTAATTGGCACGAGGCCTCTTGGTGCGAGCGCGCATAGAAGCTGCCCGACCAGCCAGCTGCTTTGTTCGTAAGGAAGCACACCCCACCTGCTGCTGTCTCCGCGAGTTCTTCCCTATCCTGCACCCAGAGGGCTCCATCCGGGCTGAGGAGCTGGCCCCCACCAGCAGCCCTGAGCCTGGAGGCTCCGCTCAGCCCAATACGGCTGGGCACCTAGGTACTCACGCTTCCCAACCTCAGGGTCCCCTTTCGGTAAGTGGGGCTCAGGGTGCCACCCAGCCTCCTCCAAGGGGGTCTGGGGGTCCAGACAACCAGGGAGCGTATTTGCCCTGTTAGCTGCAGGGGCCACTCACCTGGGACACTGCCGGGAGCCGTTCCATGCTTGCTGTTTCAAGGGACCTGGCATATATGGCATACTCTTTTTAATATGTTTGCTCACCTTCTTGGCACTATGTGTTTTAACCAAGGTCTCTAAGAAAGGTTGTTTCCCCAGGTAGGGATTTTCCCCTGAAGTTAGGGAGGGAATAAAACCTCTTAACTAAGTGCCAGGTGGGTAATTAATCACTTTAACTACGAACAATCATGCTTAAGCTACATAATCTTTACTCCCTGGAATGGAGATAAGAAACGCCCTAACCTTTGAAATAGAGATTGATAGGATTGGAATCAACTGGTATAAATACAGATGTAAGAAGACAGCAAGACACAGAACTTAGAACACAGAACTTAGAACTCAGAACTTAGAACACAGAGCTTAGAACACAGAACTTAGAACACAGGACTAAGAAGACATAACCTACACAGAACCTACAGACAGAAGAACTTCGCTGGAGAGAACATGGCAAAAGATCCTGGACTGAACCTGACTACAGAAATTGGCAAGAGAACCTGACTAGAACCTGGTAACTGAACCTGGCTGGAGAACCTGGACAGAACCTGGCAACAGAACCTGGCTGGAGAACCTAGCAAGAGAACATGGACACAGAACCTGGCTGGAGATCCTAAGCAGAACCTCTCTGGAGATCCAGACCAGAACTTGGCTGGAGATCCTGGCTGGAGATCCTGGCTAGGCTGCTGATCAACTGAACACTGTCTCTGTGTCATTCCTTCTTCGCCGACTCCATCCACACCTTTGGGGACCCCTGGACCTGCTGGGGTTGGACCCCGGCAGGACACGGGGATGAGACCCGTCCACCTCCTCGGACAACAGCCCCATGAAGGGGTGACGCCGTGACGCCTCGGGAGAGCACCCGACGGGGCACCCCCAGGACGGCAGGTTGCCATGGGGAGCGAGTTACCTCCCTGAGGTTGTCGGTGGCCCATGGCCCCTGAGCACCAAGCCCAGACCCTGCCTCCAGGTTCCGCCCCCACCGGCCAACTCCTCCCAATGCGGCGTCTGCTCCAGCCACGGCCAGGCTGTGTCTGAGGGCCTGGCCCTGGCATTCAGGACCGAGAGCTCTCAGGCTCCTTGATTCCTGTGCATGCTCTTCGGGGACACAAAGCCACTTCCCTGCAAAACACTGGAGACTCCCGAGGGACAGAGTGCCACGCGGCCTCGGACATGCCGAGCGTGAAGGACGCGGAAGCCGCCCGTGACTTATTATTAGCTCGGCCCTGCTGGGCGGACGGTGGTGCTCTCCCGAAAGCTGCAGGTGAGTTCAATTTTCTCTCCTCTCATCACGAACAATCTCGGCTCTTTAACAAGATGAGAACAGCAGTGGCTCCTGAAACACTTAGGGGCCCGATGCTGCCCCACAGGACGTCCCCATTTCCACGGAACAGCTGGGGCCACTGGGTTTAACTCTCCCCCCCCCCCCCCGCCCCAGCCAGTCAGAGGCAGCCCACCGCTCTTCCCACGGCTGGGGACCCTGGCCTCTCTTAATAACAAAATGTTATGCAAACCTGGCCGGCTTAATCCCTCTTGCTCTGGAAGGAAATCCACACACATTGCTGCTCCCCACAGAGCAAACAAGTAATCTATATACATAAAAGGCTAAGTGTCTGTCCGACCGGTAGCTATGATGCACACTGACCACCAGGGGGCAGACATTCAACACAGGAGCTGCCATGATGCCCACTGGCCATTTAAAAACAAACGGCACCACAGACCTGGTGCCAACAAACCAACACTCAGCTTCCCCCAAGTGGGACACAGGCCCCACCACCACCCCAGGGCGACACCTCACCAAATCGCAGCCGACACTGCCAAGACCCCATGGTACAAAATGCAGCCCCCAGCCCAGCCCAGCCTGGAAGGGGTCACTGTGGGTGCTGGATAATGACGTCACGTAGTAATGCCTGGCTTCCTCTCCTTAGCAACTAGCCTCCTTGCAGTTTCTTCAGCTCAGGAACCCGACTTGCTTTGTAGCCAGGTGCAGACATTTCACACTGTAACCAAATGTCTGTGAAGCGTTTTCCCGTGTCTCATCTCATTTGATCCTCACAGAAATCCTGGAGTAGGCAGATAGGAGACTCAGTGGAATCCTATTTTCCTTTCATTAGCCAGGAAACAGAGATGTAGAAAGATTAGAAACTTGACCCGACTGAACAGAAGAAAGAAATGGTGGACCTTGAAAATGACTTCAGCTTTTCTCACTGCGCAGAATATAGTCAGACACGGCTGCAGTTAAATATTTTATCCTTGGTTCTCCCTGCGTGATCTACAATAATAACCTGCTTCGTGTTGATATTTCCTGCTGTGTTGCTGACAATTACCTGAAAGAGAAGTTGGGGTGCTTCACTGGACTGGAAAAAGTTTAGCTGCATCAGAAAGCAGGTCTAATGAAGCAAGTTTATTTGATACTAAGGGCCCAGTGCATGAATTTGTGCACAGGTAGGATCGGGCCAGCCCGCCCTGATGGGGCCCATTGGGCCAGGCCGGAGGGGGAAGGGGCTGAGGGTGGTTGGCCAGCTGACCCCAGCCCCAATCGGGGTGCTGGGGGCTGATCGGGGGCCAGGCCGGCGGTGGGGGGGGGGAGGATGATTGGGGCCCAGATCAGGCTGGTTGGCTGCTGCAGTGTGCGTCATAGCCACTGGTTGTTCCGCCGTTCCAGTCGCTGGGCCATATATACGTGTGTTCGTGTATACACACACACACACACACACACACACACACACACAAAAGGCTAAGTTGACTCGCGCATGTGCAATACATATAAAGCTCGAGCTGGAGCTAATCGCATGCGTGTGTTTTGATCTGTCATTGTCGATCGTGAATTTGGTTGACACTTCTGTTATAGAGAAAGGGCGAATAATGATATTAAAATATTTCTTCTAATTAATTTCCTTTCAATGTGCACAAATCTGTGCACCGGGCCACTAGTTAGAAATTGAAAAGCTTTCGGCTCCAATAAGGACTCCAGAAACACCGCCATCACCCGGTCCTGGGCACCACCTTTCTCTCCTCTGGGGGCTGTGCCTTCCCACGGCATCCACCTCTCACGTGGCCATGCTAGGGCCATGAGGAAAGACATTTCAAATTCTGCTCTGAAATCTGGTGTTGTCTCCCTACAAAACCCACACCTCATTGCCCGGTGTCCTGGCAAAGGCCTGCTGGGGAGAGGTGGGTGCGCAGGAGTCTGTGCCCAGATGGGCAGCCCGCTCTCCCTGGCAGGGTGGGCCCCGGGAGGTGGCTGGCCCGAGGGCCACAGCAGCGGAGCTGGGCACAGACCGGCCATGAGGAGGAGGGGGTGGGTTTGGGGTTTCTGCTCATAGACAGACCGAGGTTGGCGACTTGAGGCGACCTTGTCACAGGAGAGCAGAGGCCAATGTGAGGAGGCACCAGGTGTGCAGGCAAAGGCCTTGGGCGGAGCTGCCAGGGGCCTCACCTGGTTGGGCTCCAGGGGCCCCGGTGGACAGCAACCTCAGCCCTGGGGAGGGACCCAAGAAGGGTCCCACGGGCGGCAAGCTAGGCACATCCCATGGCCAGGCCTCAGAAGTCGCTCTCACTGACCACGTCCCTCATCATTTGCCACCTGCTCTCCATCTCCCCAGCCTCCACCCAGTCGCCAGCACGCAGGGCACCCGGGCATCCAGGCCAGCTCTTCCACACCCACCCACGGCCACTCCCTCGCGGTGCCCCTGTGCGCGCCCTGCTCTCCAGTCTTCCGGCCGCGACCCTTCGTCCAGCTCAGTCATTCCTAACCCTCAAGCCACATCCCCAACCGAGTGTAACATGTTGGTAATTAACATTGATTGATGGTCATCAACAACACGCATCGTTAATGGTACGTTAATATGCGTTCATAGGTCTCCATGATGCTTTGCAATTCATGGTTCATCGGCACCGAGACGCCCGTGACCACTAACCCACCTGGACCCGCCAGTGCTGCCGACTTCAGGCCACCACCCCATGCCTTCGGGAGGCGGAGCTGAAATCGCTGCCGGCCGGCCCGGCGCCCACTTTTCTGGAAGATGGCTCACTGTGGTTCTGAGAACTTTGTACTTAAAGGGAACTGAGAGCACTGCTGGGTGGAAACCAGCTCCTCCCTGGGATCCGAGGAACAACTGGAACATACACCCGCTGGGTTCGGGGCCACAGCTGCCGTCTGCGCTAAATGGAGCGAGCAGGTGCGGGGCGGGGACGCCGCGTCAGCGCCAGGGCTGTTGTTCTTTTTTTGTTGTTGTTTTAAATATCTATTGCATTGATTTCAGAGAGGAAAGGAGAGGGAGAGACAGAAACATCGATGAGAGAATCATGGATCGGCTGCCTCCTGCACGCCCCCCATGGGGATCGAGCCCGCACCCTGGCATGAGCCCTGACCAGGAATGGAGCTGTGACCTCCTGGTTCACAGATCAGTGCTCAACCCCTAAGCCTCGCTGGCCGGGCTGGACATTTGTTCTTGACCTTGGACCAGAGGCTGGAGGAGCGCTGAGGGGGCTCCGCTAGTTGCTGCTTTCTCCATGTTCGGCTTGTGGATGACCTATGGCCCCTCAGCGCTGGGTCTGGGGGGTCTGGCTCATTGGGCATTTTCCGTTCTCTGCTTCTAGGCCCCAGACACTGGGACTCACGACCGCCTTGCACTGGGGAGGAGGCGCCCTGTGCCTTCCTGGTGCTGGGAGGAGGCAGGGCAACCATGCCCCTGGCACCCAGGGCAGCAGCTGAGGGCCCCAGACACAGCCTTTGCTCATCCAGCCAGTCAGCCCTGGACTCCGCTGCCTCCACGAGGGACCAGGGCAGGGGAGGGGGGGCGCCTGTTCTCCTTGGTTCAGGGACCAGCGAGGGTTTGTCCTGACCCGTTGGCATTTCCGGCAAGAGGCTGCTCGAGTCCTCTCCGGCCACGTGGCTTCTCCTTTGTAAGTCATCCCAAGAGCAGAGCCATTAACTGTGGCCATGACCATGCAGGGCGGCGATTTCATTCGTGCTGACGAGAGGTGCCGCACGCCCAAGCCTAAGTTGAACAGAGGAGATGACGTCTTGAGCCTTTGAAGGCGGCCACCCTGCCGGGAGCCTGGAGCCTGGCCACGAACACAGCCCTACTGGCCACACACGCTCATGAAGCGGTCAGTGGCTCTCAGCTGGCGACTTTGGGGACCATCCAGTGAGAAAGCATCTCGAACGTCACAGGAATCACGCCGGGTCCAGGTGTAATAATGTGAACAATGAATGATTAAAGTGACTGCCCGGGGTCGATGGCTGAGGGCAGACTCCTGAGTGGAGCACAGGGATGTCCTAGCCTCAGGCCAGCCTCTGCGGCCCCCCCCCCCCGCCCGAGGCCTCAGTTTCCCTACCTGAAGGGTGGCAGCCAGAAGGCTGGGTTTCTGGCTCTTTAAACTGAGGGTCTTTTTTTATGCCCTCACTGCGGTGCCTGGGACTTCTGTCTTCCTTTCCTTCCATTTCATACCCCCCCCCCGCAGCTGCCCCGGGCTCTGGAGCCCTGCCCTCGGCACCAAGTGTGTCCAGTGAGGGCTGGGAGGCGTCTGCTCTCTGAGGGGAGGTGGCCCAGGCTCTGTACCCTCACAGCCCTGTCCCTGACCGTGACCCTGACCCTGACCCTGCATTTGCCCTAGACAAGGTGGGGGTGGGGTGGGGGTGGGGCATGGAAGCCCAGATGCGAGCACCAGTTAATATTTTACAGGCTTGTTACGCTCACCATATTATTAGAATAAGATGCAACCTTCCTGAGAGACACGAGCCCCCTGCACAAGTGGGGAAACTGGCGGAGGGATGCGCACACGGCAGCAGCAGGAACCCCTAAAATGTTCCCATTTCCTCTAGCCTGCCCTTCCGGCTGAGTCCAGACTCCAGGAAGACCCTCCTTCCAGGTGGGGTCGTCTCCCCGACACACCTGGCCTGGGTCTATGCAGCGCTTAAAGCATCTGCTCCTGGTCCGCGTGCGTCCTTCCGTCTCCCTGGGACTCTCAGGTCAGGAGGCAGCAGAATCACTTCGAGGATGGATTCATCCTCGACTGCCCACCACCAGGACGGGCCCAAATGCAGGCGGTGCCCACGAAAGTCTGCTGAGTAGATGAAGGAGGTGGGAAGACACCGGACGTCTCCCCAGCAGCCACACTCCTCTCAGAAGGAAGGGCCACCTGGCGGTGGCTCTCCCTGACAATCCCCGCCATTCACTGCTGCCCAGCAAGGCCCGAGCCCTGACCCTGGCGGGGCCAGCAGGGAGGCGGGGCGGCGCTGGGCACGGGAGTGGCTCTCAGGTTCCTCCAGGCAGCACACTGGGTGAGGAGACCACCGCTTGCTCCAGGGTGAGCCTCTCGTGCTGGGAGGAGCCGCCCGTCTGCCTCCCCCCAGCAAGCAGCTCAGGCCGAGCAGAGAGCCCAGAGCAGACTCTAGAGAACTTGGAGCTCACCTGCCTGTCTCAGAGGCCGCACCTAACTGCCCTGTCAGCACCAGGACAGCCCCGGGCGGCTGGCGCCCATCCAGCACCAGGACTGCTGCCCTGTGCACAGAGTGGAGACCTCACTCACAGCCCACTAGGCGGGCATCTGCCAGGGATGGTGCTCCCGCCCAGGGATCTGCCCAGCCCCCTGCGTCTCCAGCCACTGCAGACACTGGGGCCTTCCCGAGGCCCGAGATCAAAGGCTCAGACCTCCACGCGCGGCAGAAACCACTGCTGACACGCTTTCCCAGAACCAGTAACCGCTGCCCTTTCTGTCCGATTCAGCAGATCCCAAGGTGCTCAGGAAGGCTGCCTGCCAACCAGAGTGCGGGGCTGCACATGCACAATGGAGCCTAGGTTGCCCATCCATATGGAAGGGCAGAGCCCCGGCTAAGCTTGGGTGCGGCCCAACCCAGGCAGTGCTGGATGCTCCCCTGAGCCCCCACGTGGAGGAAGGGGCACAACCCTGAGGTGTCCCTTCTTTGCTGGTGGCGAGAGCTGTGCCCTCCTCAGCTGGGGAAGAGCTGAGTGCACATCCCCTCAACTGCACGTGGCCTGACACCACCTGTCCCCTCCTCCAGGCCTGTGGGCTTCAGATGGGGATGCTCCAGCCGGGGCACCGGCCCCCAGACCCCGTTGCATGCCAGTCACGTGCCCATAGCACGTGCAGCGAGGCACCTACCCACACTGGTTATCTTCTGGGCGCCCAGGTCCTGCAGCAGGGCATCGACCGCAGGGCTGTCCCTGGAGTACAGCTCGTACCGGTTGATGCCGATGTGGAACTTGAGCCAGTTGGGGTAGCTGTCCACGGCCGCCTCCCCCGTGGGTGCGAAGTCCTCGCCCTCGGGGCCGTCGTGCGGCCTATGGAGATGAAGGGACCCTAGTCAGCAGGGAGCAGATGGGGAACCTGGGGGGAGGCGGAGGGGGGGGGGTTGGCCGCTGCCGCCAAGGTTTTAACTTTGGGTCTGAACCAACGCAGCTTCTGTGCCAACGGGCCATGCCAGGTCTGTGTTTTCCTGTGGCTGCTGCTCTAACGACTAATCACATCTCTAGAGGCCGTAATTCCTACTTACCCCCGAGCCCCAGACAGCTGTAACTAAAGCAGGAGCAACCAGGAGCTCAGCGCAAGGCCCCAGCATGTCTGTCCTGGGGTCACCAAGGCCGCCAGACAGCATGACGTCAGCTTGGGGTGCAAGGGCCTTGGCTCCTGGGTGAGGGTGGGGGGGACCAAGCTCATTGTTGACCACAGACTATGTGCAAGTCTGACACGCCCAGCCTGTCAGAAACTTTCCCTGGGAACTCTGCTCTGGCTCCAGCAACCAGGGGTAAGGCTGATGCAACCGACTAAATTTAATTTTAACGAGGGCAGTCGTGGGTGGGGAGAGAGGAAGGAGGCAGGACCTGCCACCCACGAGGCTGTCCTCACACGCCTGGGGAGAGCGGATCCCACTTCCTGCTGGGCTGGGGGGAGGAAGGTGGACTTGTCCCAGGTATAATTCACCTGCATGTGGCCTTCCTGGCCCCAAGTCCCCACCACAGTGGATACGAAGGGTGGGGCTACCCCCCCGAACACTGGCTCTGGGCTCTCTCCTCTGAAGACCCCAAGCATGCATGTTGGGGCTTTCAGACTCAGCACACGGCCTAGTTTCCAAGGAGAAGGCTGTTTCGGAGAGGTCTGGGCTCCTGGCCGCCCCCGGGCTTGGGTCACCTCCCCAGGTAGCTGTTTATTCCGGCCTCACTGCTGGTTAATATTTTACTACCCTGCTCCCAGCATCCGCTCAGCTTGCTCTTTGCAGCTGAGGAGGGCCTTGGGGGGAGGGTTTAGACCAGGACAGTTTAAAGAGATGCTTCTCCCCATGAAGCTGTCACCCAGGCCGCCCCACGCGGTTGGCACTGGCACAGCGGCTGGGAGAGCCCTTCCTGGGCCCTTTGGAGCCCGCACACCCCTCGGCTAACGGGTCCTCAATGACAGGTTCGCACAGAGCAGGCTTGGCTCCCGGCACAGAGCAGGGGCACAGAGCAGGGGCAGGTCGGGCTCTCCCTCACTCCCTGGGCTCACGCTCACTCCACCCGCAGCTCATTCATTCATTCATTCATTCGTGGCCTGACCTCACTTCCCAAGCCCGGGACCAGGGCCTGGCAGGACCCTCCCTGGCTCCCCTGCCCAGAGGCCTGGGTAGCTGACCCAGGGGCAGCTCCACACCTGCCCCTCTCAGAGACGCAGCCCTTTCTGAGACAAAGGCAGCAGGGACAAGAGGCAGGGGTGGCCGGTGGTGGCCCACAAGCTCCCCTTCTGGCCGTGGGTCCCCGCACACAGTGCCAGGGGCGCGGAAGGGCCTTTTCTGGGGGGAAGGCACACGGGCGGGTTTTTATTCTCAAAGGGCGCGTGGCTGCCTGAGGGGCCGGGCCTACCGGCGTCCACCCCGGGCCCTGGACCCGCTCACCAGTTGGGGTTCTCCGCCGCCGCCTTGGGGTTGAACCTGATGTCGCTGTTCACGTTGAAGAGGACGTCGTCCTCGGTCAGCGGGGGCACGGCGACCCGGTACAGCGGATGTTCGAACAGCCGGGCCAGGAGCGAGCCGTCCCCGCTGGGGCCGGGCGGCGGCACGGGCCGCCGGAGGCCGGGGTCTCGAAGCAGCGGCCGGTGAGCGTGGCCGCGGGGTCTGGGCGCCCCGGGATCCTGGCCCCGCACGGCGCCCTCGGCCGGCTCGGCGGGCGGCAGCTTCTCCAGCGAGTGGGACGTGAGGTTGGAGGAAGGGTCGGAGCTGAAGTCCTGCAGGATGCGCAGCGTGTGCTTGTGGGGCCAGCCCGCGTCGCCGGCGGCGGAGGGCTCCCCGGGGCGGCCGCGCGCCTGGGCCCAGCCAGGCGCCGCCTCTGCCGCGGGCTGCGCGCAAGAGCAGCCGGCCTCCCCCGGGGGCCGCGCGCGCCGCTCCAGCCGGGGCAGCAGGTCCAGCGCGATGTGCAGCGCGCACGCCACCAGGAACACCATCAGGACGAGCACGCGGAACCGGCGCACCTGGATCATCTTCACGGCGCCTCGGAGCGCCCGCCCGCGCCCTCTAGGCTTGGCTCGGCCCGAACGAGGCGCCGCACGGATCAAGGTGCATCTGGCTTCCGGCAGCTACCAGCTCCGGGGATGCTCGCAGGCCCGCGCCACGTGGGAAGCGCCCACCGCCCAAGCGCGCGCCGGCCGGGCCATCTCGGGTCGGTCCCTCTCGCGTCTCCGGAGCGGCCGCGCCCTCGGCGACCGGGCCCAAGGGTCCTCGTCCGCGGAGCTGGGGCCCAGTCGAGTGACCGGCTCTGGGCCGACCGCGCTCATCTGGCGCGCAGGGGGCCCATGCGGCGCCCCATTCCTGCCCGGGGCGCGCGGTCTGGGGATGGCGGTGGCGACTCGGCGCAATCCGATCCGGCTCCGGGGCCGCGCCGGGCGCCGGGCCGGGCGGTGGAGAAAGGGCGGCTCTTTGGGGCAGGGCTGGGCCCTCTCGCGCTGCGGCCCGGAGGCGGGGATCCGGAGGGGAGCGAGGGCGCAGGGCCGCGGGGACCGATGGGGAGGCGGAGTGGGCGGGGGGCACACCGAGCGGCGGGCGATCCCCGGCAGGTGCAGCGCCGACCCGAGCGCAGTGCCCACGGCGGAGCCTCGCGATGCCCGCACCCGGGCGGGCAGATATCCGAACGCCGCGGAGCCGCCCCCCGCGTCAGCGCCCGCAGATTGGCGGAGCCGCGGCCCCGCGAGTCACTGCCGCCCGGCCGATCGGCTCCCTCTCCTTTCTCCACCCCTCGGCCGCGCCCCGCGATGCCTCTGCAGCTCCGGGCCCGCAAGGAGAGGGCGCCTTCCCGCCGTGTTCGCGGAGAGGACGGCGCCGCTCGGGAGAGGACGGAAGGCGGAGCGCGGGCCTGGCTCCTGCCGCGGGAGCGGGTCCCCTCGCCGCGCGCTGTCCCCACGGGCCCTCCGGTCGGTTCGCTGCGCCCCGGACCAGTGCCCGCCCCCGAGCCCTGCCGCTAGCTCAGCTCCTCGCCTCCTCCCGGCGCCGAGGGCCAGACCCGGCCAAGTCCCTCCCCGGAGCCGCTGGGCGTCTGCGCCGCCAGACGGCGACCTTGCGCCCCCCGCCCCCGCCGCGGCAAAGGGAAGGGGAGGGGTGACGGGCCGTCGCCGGAAAGAACGGAGGAGCGCGGAGCGCGGTTTTTGACCCAAATCCGGAGCGGAGGCTGGACTGGCGGGGGAACCTCCAGCCCCGGGGAGCCTCCAGCCCCACCCTCCCTCTGGCCCCACTCTCCCTGGGCCCCACTCTCCCTCTGGGGACGCGCCTGCGACTTCACTCTGGCAGCGCCAGAGCCAGAGCCCAAGCGGGTGTCACAGCACAGAGGGGTGCCCGGTGTGTGCTGCTCAGAGGAGCAGTGTGTGTGTGTGAGTGTGAGTGTGTGTGTCTGTCTCACCCTCATTTGCCTCCCAGAAGCACGAATTGGACACACACACCCAGGGCCCGATACTGCCATTTGTGGCCTCCCCCGGGCCCACACAGCCTCTGGACCCGCAGTCCCACAGGGAGTGTGACTGAATGTCACCCCAAAGTCACAGGGAGGAAGGTAGGAGCCTGGCCAGTGTGTAAAGCAGGTGGGTAATGCCTGGCACAGCCTCTCCCGCCAGAGGAGAGGGGACGGGGGCCAGGTACCCCCATTCCTCACTGTGCTCCTGGAACCCCACTACCTGCACGGACCTCAGCTTTCCCTCGTGGGTTCGGAGTGCATTGTCCCTGCCACTAGCCTTGACTCTCACAACTGCCAGTGCCTGAGGTCAGCAGGGCCCACTGGACGCTGAGCGAAGGGGGTCCCTGCTCACCTGGGGAATGAGAGGGCTGGACTGGGGTAGGTTGGGGTGGGGGAGAGATGGACTTGACCAGGAGGTGGATACAGTTTCTTCGTTGGAGCTGAGTCCCCCTCCCGCTCACTGGTAGTTCCTTTTGTGTGCACAAGAGGTAACCGTCCACCCCACCTGGGGGAGGGGAGCAAAGACAAGCCTCCTGGCACAGAGGAGCTGAGGACTGTAGTCACTCAGCCTTGGGGTTCTGTGGCCTCCACACCCTCATCAGCCCCATCATGGTCAGTGTCCTCAGAGTAGGCGTGGGGTGTGCCCATCCTGTAAACCATGGACAGCAGGTATGGCTCTCACTGGGGTTCCCTGCCATTTATTTTACACCCCATACCCCTTGGGAGCTGTGATGGTATTTGGACTCTTCCATGACCCCTGAATGGCTCCCTCGCACAGCTTCATCTCAGCTGCCCCTGGGAACCCGATTCTGTGACTTGGTGCCCTCCCTACCCACCACTCTCCTTTCCTGGCACAGCCTTGCAGTTGGAGGCTCCGTCTCCTGTTCTTTTACTTTTTAGTTTTTTTTAAATATATTTTTATTGATTTCAGAGAGGAAGTGAGAGGGGGAGAGAGAGAGAGAGAGAGAGAGAGAGAGAGAGAGAGAGAGAGAGAGAAAGAAAGAAACACATCAATGACAAGAGAGAAACATTGATTGGCTGCCTCCTGCACGCCCCTTACTGGGGATCAAACCCGCAACCTGGGCATGTTCCCTTGACCAGAATCGAACCCTGGATCCTTTAGTCTGCAGGCCTACACTCTATCCACTAAGCCAAACCAGCTAGGGCTGTCTCCTGTTCTTAAGTTCACGCACCAGGCCTTGCTTAAGCTCTGCCCTGGGTCCGTGCAGACGGGCCAAAGAAGGGACCACCAGCCCCCATCGAGCCTGGATTCAGCTGTCACCTGTTAAGGTGACACAGGTGAAAGAGACTCTGAGAACAGCACACCCACAGGAGGACAGAGAATGGAAAACCCTCGGCTGGAACCTTTATACTTTGCTCCGAGGAGTAATTCGATTTGATTCAATGGATCCATCCGTGGAAATTACAAAAAACAAACAGCCCTAGCCAGTTTGGCTCACTGGATAGAGCTTCGACCTGGGCACTGAAGGGTCCCCAGGTTCGATTCCAGTCAAGGGCATGTACCTTGGTTGCAGGCACATCCCCAGTAGGGGGTGTGTAGGAGGCAGCTGATCGATGCTTTTCTCTCATCAATATTTCTAACTCTCTATCCCTCTCCCTTCCTCTCTGTAAAAAATCAATAAAATATATTTTTTAAAAACACACACAGATGCACACAAATGCACACAGACAATGCACAGACACACATAGATACACTGACATATGTACATGTGCAAACACAGACACTTGCACATGTATAGATGCGCGCGCGCGCACACACACACACACACACACACACACACACACACACACCAGAAACTCCCTCAGGCCTCTGCCTCGTTGTCGGGCAGAGGCTGGGCTGGGCCCGGCTGGACTCGCTCAGAGGGCCACTGGGGGGCTAACAGGCATGCTCACTGAAGACCAGGGAACAATTCTGGGGCTTTTCCTCCCAAAGCTAGCATCCCAACGCCAATGTGTAATCCGTCAGGTGGCGACAGGAGTTGTGTGGAAAACTGGGCAGCCGGGAGGGACTCGGACATCCTGGGGGTCGCGAGGCCCCTGAGAGAGTAACTCTGGAACAGAAGCTTGAACATGAGGGAACAGGAACGCTGAGGTCTGTGGGATGCTGTTCTGAGCACTGGCACCAAAAATGCTCAGACCCTGGGTGGGGCCCAGAAGAACATGAGGGCCTTGAGGTTGGTGTTGATGGGGAGGAAGGGGCTGGGACATTCCAAAGGGGGGGCGTGCAGCACACCCCGTGCACTGGTGAGCCTCCTTCCTCTGAAACACCCCCACCTGCCTCTCCCCACGCACCCCATCCTGCCGGGCATAGAGGGGGACCTGCCCACCCACTCAGGGCCTGGTGCCCACACCTCTCAGATTCTGCAGTGTTTCCCTCAGGATTACTCATCTGACTCCTGGGCTGGTGACCACAGGCTATTCCGGGAGCCGAGTGGGCAGCTGGGCTGCCAGGCGGGCTTGTGCTCCGGGCAGCAGGGGGAGGAGGGTTGTGGTCTTCGCTGGGGCCTGTGGCTCAGCCTGGTCTGGTGGCCCAGAGAACGTGGTAGGATTTGTGGCCTTCCCCCTTGCCTGGGACGTGGACCACAGCAGGGGGCCGATGGTAATGGGCCTGGGCAGCAGGATTTACACGGGATGGAACATAAAACCAGAGTCCTCTGTGCTGGGTTTGAGAGATGCGGGCCTGTGGGGAGAGGGGCACTGTTCTGGGGACAAAGGTGGCCTCATCCCTGAGCCACCTGCACTGACCCTCAAGCATGTCCATCTCCTTGCTGGTCCTTGGCCCTTTCATTCCACAGCCTCAGCCACAGTGGGAGGGGGCGGGTGTCTTCGGAAAATAGAACCTCTTTGTTCTCATTTAAGACGACAGATCAAGAAACCCCAAAACAAGTGAATCTACGCTAATAAAAGACAAACATGCAAATTGACCGTACCTTCACTATATCTTAAGCTACGCCCACCAGCCAATCAGAGCAACTGTATGCAAATTAACCCAACCAAGATGGCAGCCAGCAGCCACGGAGCTGGAGCAAGCAGGAGGCTTGGTTGCCCCAATGATGGAGGAAGCCAAGCTTCCCGCCTGCCGCACCAGGTCTGAGCTCCATTCAAAGCAACAAAGTTTCAATTATAGAAGACAAATAAACCCCAGATACCTGCTTTCAGCTGGTGTGGCCACGGAGCTGGAGCGAGCAGGAGATTTTCCCTCCCGCCCGCCCTGACTGGCTCTGAGCTCCTCTCAAGGCTACAAAGTTTCAATTATAGAAGGTAAATAAATCCCAGAATAAAAAAAAAGAGAGAGAGAGAGAGAAAGGAGAGGGTGGGAGCTTCCGTTGCCCAGGGGGGCTTGGCCAGCCTGAAAACAGCCCTCAGCCCCTCACCCAGACTGACCAGGCACCCAAGTGGGGACCCCCCCACCCTAAAGGGGTTGTGGCCAGCCTGAAAACAGCCATCAGCCCCCCACCCACACTGGCCAAACCTCCATGGGGTGAGGGTCCCCACTGGGGGGGCTTGACCAGCCTGCAAACAGCTATCAGCCCCTCACCCAGGCTAGCCAGGCACCCCAATGGGGACCCCCACCCTGAAGGGGGTGCGACCAGCTGCAAACAGCCATCAGCCCCTCACCCAGGCTGGCCAGGCACCCCAGCGGGACTCCCACCCTGATCCAGGACACCCTTCACAGCAAACCAGCTGGCCCCCACCCATGCACCAGGCCTCTATCCTATATAATAAAAGGGTAATATGCAAACTGACCCTAACAGCAGAACAACTGGGAATGACTGGTCACTATGACACACACTGACCACCAGGGGGCAGATGCTCAATGCAGGAGCTGCCCCCTGGTGGTTAGTGCGCTCCCACAGGGAGAGCTCTGCTCAGCCACAAGTCAGGCTGATGGCTGCCAGTACAGCAGTGGTGGTGGGAGTCTCTCCCGCCTCAGCAGCACTAAGGATGCCTGACTGCAGCTTAAGCATGCTCCCCGCTGGCAAGTGGACATCCCCTGAGGGGTCCCAGACTGCGAGAGGGCACAGGCCGGGCTGAGGGACCCTCCCCTCCACCCTGAGTGCACAAATTTTGGTGCACCTGGCCTCTAGTAAAACAATAAAAAGCTTGATGTTGTCCTAGCCAGTTTGGCTCACTGGACAGAATGTCAGCCTGTGGATGGAATGGTCCCATGTTTGATTCCGGTCAAGGGCACATGCCCAGGTTGTGGGCTCGTTCCCCAGTAGGGGGCATGAGGAGGCAGCCAATCCATGATTCTCTATCATCATTGATGTTTCTTTCTATTTCTCCCTCTCCCTTCCTCTCTGAAGTCAATAAAAATGTATTTTTAAAAAGCTTGATGTTATTTTTCTACATATTGTATCATTCAAATACATAACTTATATTATTTTTGATCATACATGAAATAGCCACAAAAGCTATCTACTGGCCATAAGGAACATGTCAAGAATTCCAAA